TCTCTATCGTCTATTTGCCGAGCCTCGTCTTACTCTCGCCTCCGTCCTTGTCGCTCCCCTCTCGGCCAATGCGAATATCTCCGCGATACCTGCGCGATACACGCTCTTCTCGCCTCTCGTTCCTCCCTTGTTCTCCTCTTCCGCTCCCTCCCCCCGAGTCCTTTAAAACCGGTACACCACCGGTAGAAAAAGTCTCTCGGCCACGAACACGCCCTTCTTCTCCTTTTCCTTCGTCTCCTCCTCTCCCTCCCTTTCGCTTTATCGTTTCCTCGTTTATCCGTTCTGGATATTTCGCTCGAGCGAATCAAACCTGTCTCTCTCTTTTTCCATCTCTTTTCAGGGAAGAATAAAAAAATTAAATGAAATAAAATAAAGAAAGAGAGAGAGAGAGAGAGAGAGAGAAATTCCATAGGCGGTGGATTCGAAGCGGTTAATCGGTGTCGGCTCGTGCCAACGTAATAAACGATTCGAAAGGGTTTACGTTGTCGCGCTCAAACATCGACGGTGATATCTAGGTGAAGGTGTGTTACGATTAGGCACCTCGCGGCCCGTGGTACGGTACTAGTTTTACTCGTTGAGCAACCGCGAGCCGATTCTGGGGCGCGTTGGCTGCTCGATTACACTCGCATACCGATCGTTTTTCTTTTTTTTCCACGCGTTAAATCGGTTACGTGAAAACCACCATCGATCAATGAACGGAATAAACAGCAACAACATCGACGTTTGGTTATATGGAGTTCGAATGAGAATGGGACGAAATAGAGGAGGGGGAAGAAAAACGGGGAGAGGAAAGGAAAAAGAGGTTGATGAGGTTCACCTTCTTCGTTTCACCGATATTTGACGAGCTGCTTGGACTTGCTGCACACTGGCCTGTGCATTCGCTTTCCTACCTGTTGCACGTCGGCCAGGCCTGTTTTTCCTCGAGTTCACCTCCCCCGGAAGCCGTGACCTCCCCCGCGCGCCGCGGGGGTTGCCACCACTTTTTCCACCGCAACCTCTTGGATTTACCTCAATTTTCCGACGTAAACTCGATTGCACAAAAAGGAGGAAAAGGGAAAAGGAGTGGTAACGACGTAATAATTGAATTTGTTTATAAATATTTCTCGAAATGTTTTCCTTTCTTTCTTTTTCCTCTCGACTCTCAAAAAACAAGTCGCACATGCGTATCATCGTTGTCTTAATTCGTTACGTTTCTCTGGGAGGGGGGGAGAGAGGATGAAATAAGAGGAGGACGAGACGATTCCTGCCGATGGTGTCGAAGG